GACAGTAGTGAGACAGAGTGTATACGGGAGAAAGACCATATAATTTACTTGAAGTTCTGGATCATTTGATGGTTCTTCGAATTTTTCAAGTTCAAGATCTGAATTATTTGATGCTACTTTATAATTTTCTTCTAGGTGAGTTTAAGCCTTCTCCTGCTGGGCAGAGCGTTTTCACCACCGCCCCACCTCCAAAGCTGTCTAGGCACACATCGAGGCACGCTTTTTAACACACTGCTTAAACGTAATTAGATGCTACATGGAAGGACTAGGGAGAAGTGCGTACCTTCAACGTTATTAGAATCAAATCACGAATGAAATTGATTTTTTATGTCTTGTTAATACTTTTGGTACATGGGAGGGTGAAAGGCCAACTGCGTTAGGACATCCCTAGGCCTAACAAACCCAAAAACGTCATCAACCACAAGGATTTCGACAACATGATCAGTTGCCACATTTTGCTCTCTGTAAACATGGTTGATTTTGCACCTCCAGGTACATGGGAGGCAGCATGCATAAAATAAGAAAAACAACCACATGAGAGACCCCAAACCAGCAAGAGCATTGGCTAAACCCTAAACCCTTGTTAGAAAACATAGAAACTCAGTTACCACAAGTACTTTTTCTCTATGAACATAGTTGATCTTGCACATCCAGTCTTGATTTCTTTTGAATTCTCTGAAGAAGAATCATCTTCTTCCTCATAAGAGCTAAAAATATCACTTCCTCTTCCTTCGGAGTCACCATAGGGTCTCTCAGTTTTACAGTCTTCGGAAGAAAATACTTTCTACTTTAATGTAAAACACAATGGAATACACCATGAGCTAAAAATGTCACTTCCTCACGTCATCATCATCAACTATATATGCATGCCATGTGGTTTCCATTGTGTTATATATGACTTTCGTACCATGTACTTTCTTTTAAAGCTCCACAAATGTAATTTTATCTGAAATAAGAAATCTTTTGTTTTTCAATTTTGTGCGAGTTAGCCCACCTCCCACCATAGTTCACTAAAATTGTCAAACTAGACATCTTCCTGAAATAAAAGCATAACAATAAGAAAAGAAAAAAGTGACATACGCATTGAAAAAAATTAATTTAATATTGCCTAAATGATTAGTACAACTAATTAATAATTTCCAAACCAAGATAAGAAGAATAAAAACACAAAGAAAACTTTCTATTTCGTAAACCTAATTTTTATAATATGCACTAAAAGAATTTTTATTAGCTTTGTCTCTAACTGATTGGCAAATGATATTAGATTTGTCAATCTTCCATTCATTCACTTAAGGAACCTTATTTTTTTTAATAAGAATTTTTATTCCGTAAACCTTAAAATTATGCTTTTTGCAAGTGGCCTTTTACAATAATGGTTTGAGCCCTTGCATGACGGCGTTTCAAATCCCGTCGGTAACTAATCTAACAAAATTCTATCATTTGAACAAAAAAAAATTATGCTTTCTGCACATTCTAAGAACAGCAGATCTCTCAATTCACTATCATAGCCAATGATAACCTTCAAAACAGAATCCGAACACGGACAACACAATTAATAATGCAAAAGTGCGGAAAAATATATATGAAGCGCATATAATCCAAAGGATTGAGATAAATAACCTTACAAAAATTGACAAATCGTTTTTCAATAAATATTCAATCAAAGGAAAAAACTGCAAAAGCAAAGAGAAAACGTTCCGCAGGGAAAATGCAAAAAATGAACCATCTACACTCACCTTCGTTTAGGGCTGTACAAGTCTCCACCAATAGCCGATGCCTTCATTACGTCTCCACCATTTCTTAGGTTTTGCCATCAGAAATTTTCATCAAATAGGGTTTTGTTTTAAAGTTTAAGGGTATTTGTGTCTAGTTAAGTGATATTTTGGATATATTTGAAAGTTTTTATAAAACTAAACCACCATTGCTCTCAAGTTCTCTCTTGCTCAAGGTTCTAAAAATCGCTAGGCGTTAGTCGGGCAGTGAGTAGGGGCCTAGCGCCTAGGCGGCTAGGTGGGGCCTAGGTGCATTTATGTAAATTTATTATATATCTTGTAAATAAGTGTCTATTTACACCTAAAAAAAAACTATACTTGTATGGATAATAAAATAATGATAAAATGAAAATTAGGTACATCATTTCCATAAGTATACCACCATGAAACCAAAAAAGAAAAAAGCACACAATTAATAAAAAATATAAAAAAAATTGCCTAGGACAGCTTAGGTGCCGCCTAGCTCTCCGCCTAGGAGCAGCCTAGCTTCCCGCCAATTTTTCCAAACACATTGCCCAAAATCGGGGCGGGGCTCCACCGCCCAATGCCTAGGCGCCGCCTAGGTCGATTTTTAAAACATTGCTCTTGCTGATCTCCTCCTCTCTGCGCCTCCTTCGAAACCCCTTTGGTAAAATTTCAAATTTTAGTCCAAGTTGTATTTTATCTCTCTTTCTGCACTTTCGAAAAGTTTCAGTTTTTTGTGTTCCTAAGCTTATGTCTCTAAAAGCAATTTAATTTTGTGTTTAATTTGGATTTTTGCATTGCGAATTTTGAATTTTGTGTTTAATCTTCATTTTTGTGTTTTGAATTTTGAATTTGTAGCTTGATCTTCCACCGGAGTTACAACATCCAAATTTTGCATTTGTTTATGTTAGAGCATCTCCAAAGGAGATTTCAAAATCCTAGGTGGAATGCCACTATGTATATTTGAGATCAAAAGTCTCTCCAACCGAAGTGTTATTTGCTTACTAGATTTGAAGGCTTTGTGATTTGGAGTAAAATTTGACATCAATGTTAAATTTATTTTTAATTCATTTTAATGGTGGATCCCTGTCACATCCTGGCCCGAGCCCCCACCACATCCCGGACTCAACTCCACCGTAGCATGATATTGTTCGCTTTGGGCCCCAACCACGCCCTCACGGTTTTGTTTCTGGGAACTCACGAGCAACTTCCTAATGGGTTACCCATCCTGGGAGTGCTCTCGTGTGCTACTCGCTTAACTTCGGAGTTCCTACAGAATCCAAAGCCAGTGAGCTCCCAAAAGGCCTCGTGCTAGGTAGAGATGGGAATATACATATAAGGCTTACAGGATCCACTCCCCTGGGCGATTTGGGATATTACAATCCATCCCCTTTAGGGGCCCGACGTCCTCGTCGGCACACTACTGTCAGGGTTAGGCTCTGATACCAAATTGTCACATCCTGGCCCAGGCCCCTACCAAATCTCGAGCTCAACTCCACCGTAGTACAATATTGTCCACGCCCTCACGGTTTTGTTTCTAGGAACTCACGAGCAGCTTCCCAATGGGTCACCCATCCTAGGAGTGCTCTCGCGCGTTACTCGCTTAACTTCGGAGTTCCTACGGAATCCGAAACCAGTGAGCTCCCAAAAGGTCTCGTGCTAGGTAGAGATGGGAATATACATGTAAGGCTTACATGATCCACACTCCTGGACGATATGAGATGTTACAATCCGCCCCAATTTTTGAATCGGGGTGTGTCAATCCCTTATTCCACTAACATTTCAACCAATAAAAATTTTGTTTCAACATTTTTTTTTAATAATTACAACCATTTAAAGCTCTATTTAAATAATAAAATAATATTTGACAATTCGGTTGGAGAAGCATAAAATTTGATATAAGACTTCAAATTGCCACATCAGCCATCAATTGTAATTTAACCCTTAAAATTTGACATTTCCTTTGTATATGATCTAATGACAACAATCCATTCAAATTCTACATTTATCCAGTAAATTGTAGAAGAAAAATGAATTATGAGGAACTTGGAGATTGTGCCAGCTTTGGTCATGAAGGGTATCAGCAAGTTGTTCCCCATGCAGGTGATTAATCATTTCCCAGTCTGTGCTCTGTTTGGTTGATGAGGAAATTATTGAAAAAGATGGTGTTTTTGTTCATTTGTTGGTTGATTTGTATATGGACTATGTATTATTATTTTTATTTTTATTTTTTGGGGTATAGAGGCTGTGTGTGGAACCAACAATACAAGGGCGGGATATGATTAGTCGCGCTCAAACTGGAAGGAGGAAAACTCATGCTTTTGGGATTCTCATATTGAATAAAATCTATAAACACAACAACACTCATGCTCACATGTATGCGATTAATGTTTGATTATATATGGCTGTGGATGGTGGTCTTTCCAATACCACCCATGCAAACACCTTTCAATCATTAATGAGCAAAGACCACCCCTGCAAACACCTTTCAATCATTAATACTTAATAACGATTCAACTTGCGAACTTTTAATTTCAACCATTCGCAATGCAAGGAATTTATATTTTATCAAATCAACTCAACCTCTTGCAAAGGCTCGTTTTCCTCAATTTGTTTCACGTACTTCCTTTGTCCCGATTAATTTGGCTTCGTTCGGAATTCGGCCCAAAGTAACCTTGAATATGCCAGGGTCGGGTCGGGACGGGTCGTATGACAGAAATGAACTGAGACAAGTGGCAGAAAATCTTAGTCCACTTTGGAGAATGACATGGCAACACTGGGCTCAATCGTTCCATCCCTCTGTGTGTGCGTGTAAAATGAAAGGGTCTGTCCAAACGGTGACAGACGGAGAGAAAGCTTTGAAAATGGCAATGGCTTGGAGGCTTCCTACCCTGCTGGCAACACCAGGAAACCTCCATCACCGTGACTCCGACACGCCATCGTTCCAAGCCTCGCTCTCATGGTGCCAGACTTTAGCTCCAGACCATCTCCTTCCTTCGTCATCTTCCTCCACCTCTACCGCCACTCATTCGTCTCCTCCCTTCAACAGGAAAGCCTTTCATTTTTCCACTGTAATTCACAAATCGCAAAAAAACCCATATTTTTGTTTACAAACTTGAAAAGAACCCATATTTGTCTTCAAATTTGAAAAGAACTGAATTTTCAATTTTGATTTGTGTGTGCAGGGACCAATACGTGGCGTTTCATGAAATGTACGGGCAGGGTGGGAGCTGGGGCTGTGAATCTTGCTCGGGGGACACCCGTCAGACCACTGGTTGTCGGCGCCACCGAGACTCTGGGGAGGCAGATTGTGAGGAGAGCAGTTGATGAGGGATATGTTAGTTGCTTGGTCAGGCCGAGACCAACCCCTGCCTATTTTCTAAGAGATTGGCGTGCTACGGTTGCCATGGGACGTCCAGACGAGCCCATAAAAAAGGTGAGTTTTAATGCCCAACTGTTGAAGCTATCATTGATAAGCAGAACGAGCAGTTCATTCGCTAAATGATCAGTTCGTCCATTACAAACGTAGATCAGGCATTTGTCATATGTAATTGCTTCTGTGACTCTGTCTTATTCCCTTTTGTGTATTTATGTTATTCCTTGTTCAAATAAAATGTAGGAATAAATTAGAAAAGGTCTATGGATTGTTCAACCTTTTAAAAAGTGCTCCGATACAATTTAGAGATTCGTGTATCCATCTAAGATCATGAAGTTATTTTATATGTTGCAGTAAACATTACCGGACTTACTAATGTGTCCTGCGTGCATTTTTGGTCTTATCTAACCATTTTTTCCATTTAGGTAGATTGGGAAGGAAAAGTTGCTCTTATACAATGTGCAAAAGCAATGGGAATCCAAAAATTTGTTTTCTATTCCATCCACAACTGTGACAAGCATCCCGAAGTTCCACTTATGGAGATCAAGTATTGCACTGAAAAGTTTCTCCAGGATTCATGCATAGATTAAATCACATCATGATTCATTTATGTGGATTCATGCAAGTAGGTTTCACTTAAACTTCCTCTCTTACTATCTTGTTACTGGCATATCCAGACTTGTGCTTCACTGTCAGCTTGATGTTTCAAATTAATTTCCGTATCTTCTTATCATTCTTAATTCTCATATGGCATTCCTCCAACCCCCATTCACTTTCTTTATGAGAAACAACAATTAAACCAGACAGTTATACGAAGTTGCATGTATAAAAATCATTCAAAACACAGGCATGCATCCAAGCACACACACCCTGAAGAGGTATGCATATGCTTGGAGAATGATCATATGTTCAGAAAGGAATCTTTCCAAGGACATGATTTCATAAAACAATCAATAATTATGTATGCTAGTTATCCTTCTGTCAGTACAGTTTCTTGTGCTTCGTTGTGAGATGGAATATCTATTTTGATGTTAGTTTTAGCTACTAAGTGAAAAGGCTTATCTTTACGTTTTATTATCAGGGAATTATTGGACAGTATGCAGTATTGCAGTGCCTATATTAGAAGAGAAATCAGTATGGGGAACAGATGCCCCCACAAGAATTGCATACATGGACACCAAGTTTAATCATGCATTGACTGTTTCCCTGGTTTATTTTAGAAATACTTTCTTTTTGTTTACCTCTCGTTATGGTATCTGATTTTTGGTATTAGGACGTAGCTCCTCTGACCTTTATAGGTTTAAGAAATGAGAAAGTCGGTGGGAAGCTTCTCACATTTGCTGGCCCTTGCGCTTGGACAACCCAAGAGGTTAGCGAGAATGTTTACCACCAGAGGCCCTTCATTGTTCTTACTTCCTCTAAGTTTTATACTCTGCAACTGAACTTAAGGCCAGCTCCTACTGTGCCTCCCCCTCATTATAACCAAGGTCTAGGGTTTTTAAAAGTGCCTTTTGCTTTCAGGTAATAACAGTGTGAAAGGTTTGCGAGGCAAGAGGCAAATATTACAAGAGTCCCAGGTCTGTCTTGAGGGTAACCCGTCAGCTAACAAGGCTTTTTGAGTGCACAAATGATGTTGCTGATAGAGTGGCATTTTCAGATAAAAGAAAATCCTATTTCAGAATGTTTTATTTGCACTCATTTGTTTCTTTCTTTTTGTTCGTATGTTTATGAGGAAATTAGAAACAAGCTCAAAGGCCTTGCACTTTTTTCTTTTCTCAATATCTTTGATTCTATATCAAATTTTGTCAATATAGTTATCAATGCCAAAGAAGGTCAAGTAATTTTCTCAATATCGTTGAATTTTTTTTCCGTAAATGTTGCTTATTATTTTCTTCAACCGGAGTTCCAATGAATTTTATCTTTGTTGTATCTATTTGTCAATGATTTTAGTTGTTTTCTCTTTTGAGAAAATTTTCTCTAAAGGAAATGCTAGAAGGTATCTGTTTGGGTTTTGTTTTTGTCTTAATATATTAGATAAATTTTGTTATGGGCTTCGATTTTTGAATCAACTGAATTCTTTGGTTTGTATAGCAATCTTAATTGATAGGTGATCTATTATGACGCAGGTATTAATTATATTTGTAGAACTCAATGAATACTTTATATTTCTTAAACAAGGATTGCCTGTCGATATGAAATTTCTCATCTCTTACTCCTCCCTTAATTAGGATGTAAATAGATTTTGAGATAGATGTAGACAATTTTAATATATTTCACACGTTTAACATATAATTGTGGTTGAATACTGGATGAACTACTCAAATTTTTTATCTTTAAATTATTTTTTACATTGAAGTTTAGGAGAGCCCTAAACCAACAACAGACTAATGGCTTCGACTTGCGTCTGGCTCTCACTTCCACTTGCTTGCTCAGACTCATTTCTTCCACTTGCTTCCTCAAACTAGTCGTCTTCATTTTTTTTTTTTTTTTTTTTTTGGAGACTTACTAGTCATCTTCTTTTGCTTCCTCTTCGCCTACTTTCTCCCTCAGAGTCTTCGCTTCCACTTGCTTCCTCAGATTCATTGCATCCACTGGCTTCTGGATCATCACTCCCACTTGCTGCATGCTCATCTTGTTCTTGTTGCGACATGACATCACATTTTAATTTCTCAGCATCTTTGGCATACAATAGGCACATCCCACACTTTTCCACCACCGTCTGGAATACCCCGTCTTCCCGGAAGTGAACAGAGACCTCAGTGACGCGGTTGTAAAAAGCAGAGGACCATTTTGTTCTCTATTCATATTCAAGGTCTTTATACAATACGAACACATAATGTAGAGGTGAGAAACAATAATTTACACCATAAACATCATCTTCAATTCCTATAGTGAATTAAAAATTGATTTCATGACTTTCCCCCTCTCCAGTTTTGAAATTGTACTTGCATTCAAACACCGCATATGGATCAGAGAGATTGGATACAACAGAGAGAGCGAAACCCAAGAAACCTTCACGAAACCAATTTGCAGGAAGCCTGACATTTATTGAAGCCCCCTCATTTTGATGTACGAACCATTTTGGAATTTCATCTCCCGGACATACAATGGTAACTAAGGGTTCAGAAAACTCTCCCTGCAACAGTAATTCACATCATGTTACTAGACACACACACACACGTATACAGAGAGAGAGAGAGAGAGAGAGAGAGAGAGAGAGAGAGAGAGAGAGAGAGACTCTTCTTTTAAATTTGAAGATGCAGTTGAGAAACATACGTAATCTTCCTTGTCGAAACATACACAATCTTCCTCGTCTTCCTCTTCTTCTTTTAAATTTGAAGACGCAGTTGAGAAACATACGAAATCTTCTCTCTCTCTTTTTAACTTTGAAGACGCAGCTGCCACTCGCATGATTCTAAGCTGTGAATCAACCATTATTCTGCTCCGTTCATCATAACCCAAGCTTGGACAATAGTAAAAAGTATGTTCCTCTCGTAGCAATTCATATCTATTCCAACATACTGTAACTGCAGTCCTTGAACTTGACACTGTCTTCAGTGACTTGCAGCCATCTGCATGAAGACGACGTACCACTGGGAGCTCTAGTAAAGATCGAAGGCTCGCACCCGATTAAGCACAGGCTAGACAGCTGAGACACTTGTTTAATGCTTGAGGGTATGCTCCGAATTTTGGTTCCGCCCAGATTAAGAACCCGTAATGAGGTTGAGCAATTGACGCCCTCAGGGATTTCTAATATACCGCTGCCATGGAGGTTTAGTACTTCAAGAGAGAGAAAACCAACTGAGCCAGTCGGCCGAGGAAAATTTCGAAGTTTCCGACAGTAACTAAAGCTAAGCTTTTTGATATTTGTTAATTTGTAGATGCTACTTGGGACAACTTTAAGTTCAGAGCAACGACAGAGATCAAGTTCCTCAAGAGATTTCAACTTACAAATTGTCAGTAGGAGACTCGCAACATTCATGCAATGCCTCAGTTTAAGTTTGGTGAGACAAAGGAGACACCTCATTGATGATGTGGGCAATACTTTTATTCTTGTGAGAGACAAATCTAATTTACCAATACCCCTGGGAGGCTCCCAAAACTTTTCCAGAGAGGTGCAGCCATTTAGACTAAAAGCACCTGAGACTTTCAGCTTGCAAGTGTTGCTTGGAAGTTCCTTTAAGTTTTTCACAATGTGTGATATCCAAGGAAGAAATTTTTTCATGAGACCAAACTGATGACGGCAACTCCTTTATGCCAGTGTAGCTTAAATTTAAGAATTCAATATTGTCTGGCATCTTTGGAAGATACTCGAGACTCTTGCACTGTGAAAGATTAAGATAAGTAAGTTTGTCAAGATTTTTAAAATGCTGAGGAATTTCAACCAAAATTTCACATCTAGAAAGATCCATGTGCTCAATATTTGGACTCCCCAAGAGATTTGGAAGTGCAGTTAGACGTTTGCATTCATGAAGGTAGATCACTTTTAAGTTCATAGGATTCTGTAACAAATCAAAGAGAAAAGGTAAGAATTAACAATTTAGTCTGAATTAGTTTCTGCACTACACCTTACACAAAAAAGAAAAACTATAACAAGCACATATACCAGGCCTCCATCCCAAAGTTGCGTGACTTTGCTGCAGGGCATACGAAGCTCAACAAGATTTTCAAGAGAAAATTCTGGGGGCGAAGATTTTGAAGGATAAGACCCCCAGTAAAGATAACGAAGAGAACTGGGTACAAAGAGAGTTTTGCCTTCCCACGCCCCCCAAACACTGAGCAATCTCATATTATACATCTTTTTGAAGTCTGCACGATCCAAGTTTTGCTCTCCAATCCTTGACCAGGGAAAGATTAAGGCTTGAACCTTTTCAGTTCCCTGAAAACCAACAGCAAAGTACAAATGGGAACACACTAACACAACAAAATTTAATCAAAACTACATCTGTAGGAACATGACTTATTTTTTGTAAATGAGTGTTCTCTAGCTGTCTTCTCAGAGGAAGTACACAGTATTTTATCGATCTATTTCTTTTCTTTATTGTTTAAAAAAATTGTGAATCCACTTGCAGCTCTTACTGTGTTATTTTTCAATACATGATAGATATCCTCAACAATGAACAACCTACTGCGTCTTCCGGGCTCTTCAATACATTGTTCGCGAACAATTGACCAACCCATTTCTTGTACCAAATCATGCATATCTATGGTTTTCCGTTCTGAATCAATCGATATGAGAGACCTATAACAGAGAACTCTAATTCCATGTGCTGCACTTGAACCACCATGCGTCTGGCCATTATGTTCCCTCTTTCCACGACGCATTTGGCCAAAATCTACCATCTTTTTAACATATTCAATATCATTCCCTTTGTAAAAGCATACTATATCAAGAAATATCTGCTGCTCATTTTCTTCTAACCTATCATAGCTTATTTTGAACACATCCCGAATCTCCTTTCCGGGAAAAATTTTCAGCGTGCTCAATACATCTTCCCACTCTTGTTCGTTCTTACAATGAAGGAACAAGGGACCCAAAATTTCAAGAGCCAGTGGAAGGCCTCCAGCATAACCTACCACCCTTGCCGACAACTCTCTGTATTCTGCTCTAGGAGACTTATCCTTGAAAGCATGAGATTGAAAGAGCCGAAGAGCGTCATCAGTTTTCAATTCCTCAACCTGATATATATATTTTTCATCACTAACAGCTTTAATGAGTACGCTCCATTCTCTACTTGTTACGATGATTCTACTTCCATTTCCGTAGCGATGATTCTCAACCGTGTCACTGAGAGCTAGATCTTTGATTTGCCTTGAGTCACAAACATCATCAAAAACAATGAGAACCTTTGTACGGCTGAGCCTTTCTCGAATAGAAGTCGAATCTATGGAGAGATTTTCTTCCTTTAAGATCTCTCTAAGAAGTGTATTTTGCAATTGATTGGCTCCATCTATTTGCTCTGATTTCTCCCTAACATTTTAAGAAAACAACAAGCTTCGAACTTAGAGAGTCTGTTGAACACAGCCTTAGCAAGGGTGGTCTTTCCAATACCACCCATACCCCAAATGCCTACAGTGCAAACACCTTGCCAATCATCTGTGCTTAATAACGATTCAACTTGCTTGATGCGGCTTTCAATTTCAACCATGCCCTTTAAATCATATGAGGTTTCACGTTTCAATTTCGTTGAAATATCTTCCACAACTTCCTTTATGAAATCAGTCTCCGTCCTGCAAAATAGGATTACAAATGATAAGCGATATATAGTAAGCAATGCCTTGACTAGTTTTGTAAACCCATTTCAAAGACACTGTTCACGCAGTGTATTGATGTTTTTGCCTTGCAGTGTTTCATTTCTGTTGTATTTTTTATTTTTGCACAGTAGAATTACTAATATGCCCTTTGGCCCAGCCGTGGTCAAATTTTCCCACGTGTTGGACATCTGAGATTGCTTTCCTCAGGCGTCGCTACCTCTCTTGGATCATTGTTCCTCTTTACGTGCTATGGCCAATTTCAAAACCGAGATTGCGATTAGGAGAATAAGGAATTAGGACGAGCAGAAGCCGATTTAGTAGTAGCAGCGAAAGCAGTTAAACTTTCAACTATAGATCAAGATTTGTTCATGAAGGAAAGAGATTTAGTCCCTCTGTATGCGAACAAGGTAAAACCCACTTGTTTGATGCATTCTTTGTTCATTTCAGCTTCTGGTAGTGTTCATTTCGCTGTTAATTGTTCTGGATTTGAGCTAATTCGCACACCCATTTGTTTGCTTGCCGAGAAAGTTCGCATGAATTACAAGTTCTGCTTCAGCTGGGATTACCCTTTATTCTTATTCTTATTAATATTATTATTATTATGTGCTGAAAGTTTATCAACGTTCATGTTGCTTATTAGCGTTCACGTTACTTAGTAAGGATGAATTTAAAGAGTGGATTAAGTTTGAACTTATGCTTATTAGCTTGGTTATCGCAAAGGCGCTTCTTCAGCCTGTAGTATATGTAGGTTTCGATTTTCTTGCCAAGTAAGGCAGCACGAAGATGGCTGGTAAAAGTGAGGCGGGTGTCCTCACCTCTGAAACTAATAAACACATCATACTTTTCTCGAAGAGGGGGGATATGATCAACGTCATCATCGTTATCATCAACAGCAGCATCAGCAGCACCAGAAGAAGAAGTCGAGGAAGAAAATGTCAATGATCTGCCGCACATGTAAAACAGAGTCCCGATGGCGATGACGACGATGTTGAAAACTTGAATGAACCCAATCAAGTCCATCTCTCTATCTGTTAGAGAAGAGAATGAAGCGATCGAAGCGAGAGTATTTGATTACACAAAACAGAAAGAGAATCTGAACTATTCTTGCATTTGAGACTAGATTAGATTTTAGTACGGAAAAATTGAAATTGTACCAGTTCTTGTTGAGTATGTGCATAAAGTTAGCTGAGGACAAAAACTAAAAATTTGAAAGAGAGAGACTAGTCACCTAACAAGTATTTGATAATGCTACTACATTAAAATTTGTCCAAAACACACTCTGTAAGGCATCTTTCAAGAAAATATACGTACAAACGACAATCCAAAAAAATCATCAAAGATCAAACAAAAAAACCATAAAAAATAAAAAGACGAAATTGCACAAGCATATTCGGCCTTGAAATTGTTTGCCTTCAAACGGAAGAAAAGGGTACAATATATCCTAGTTGAGGGCGTTAACAAAGAAAGGTGAAATTAAGAATGAATATCCCACCTCCTCCTCCTGATGCGAGGAAGTTTCCTGGTGCTACTGGACGGAAAGGGATCCTTTCCGCATCCTTCCATCAAATCCACCAATCCGATTCCGAGGCCTTAAAATTTGATCCGACGGCTAAAAACAGAGTTTAGTCTTGGATCCCTGTTTTTAACGGTTAGATCAAATTCAAAGGTCTAAATTGATGAATTTAGTGGAAGAATTCCGAAAATGATCATTTTTCCTACTGGACAACTTCTACTCTATACAACAATAAATATGTGGATAACATGTTTTTTTATACATATATTCTTGGGCTTTGCTAGCGGAAGTTGCATCAAAAGCAAGTCCTCACAAACCCTCCTAACACGTGGCCCTGATCCTTAAAATATCAATTAAAAATTCGAATGTAATATTGGTGTACGTTTATTTTCTATTTTACCCCTTTGCTAATGCCAAGCCCATGGTTAAAAACCAAACGACACATCATGTTTTTCAATCATTTCTGAACTCAAACATCTCCGATTCTTCACCACGAAAGGCATCAACAACCACCCCATCTTTGAGGTTTCGGGGGCGTTGTGCGAAGTTCATAAAAGGGGTCTTCTTATAAGTCATATTATAAAAATATGAACAATATATTATTTAATATAAAGAAACCAACAAAGTAACCATATTAGTAATAATCAACAATAAGTTCAATCTTAAGAAACCAAATATAAAAAAACTTAAAAAAGTTTAGCATTGAAGTTTCACTTAAAGATGATTCTTCGTGCATTCTTTGCTTCAAAATCATCAATTAAACCATTATAATCAATTTTGTCTAAAAAACCATTTTTAATCGATATCAAAGCAAGTCTATTTATCCTTTCTTGCAGCATGAATGGCTGCAATTATGATTTTAATAACTTTAACTTTGAGAAACTCCTTTACAGTAACAGGTACGGTCAACAAAATTCTCTCTGACGCTGAATTGATTACCTCGATGGGGTTCTCCCCCTTTTAATTGATTATCTTTGCCACTATTGTTTTATAAATTGTAATTTATATCATTCCTTACAGATTTGGTGGTTTTTGTAGGCAAGTCATAAATCATTTTAAATTTTTTATTTAAAGTTGAACACAAACAGTACCTGACAAAAATTAACTGCATGATGTACAATAAACTAACACGTTTCACAGATCCTCCAAGTCGTTACAAAGAGGAGCCAAAGAGGATCCTCATGTACTAGGCTTATGGCTTTTGGGCCCATCATATAAATATATATATATATGTATATATATATATATATGTATATATATGTGTATATATATATATATTTTTTTTGATTTGATTAGCATTTTTATATATTATTTTTATATAATAATATTTTATATTATTATATTAAATTAACTACTATTTTTTGGGGCCCTTAAATTTTGGGGCCATGTGCAAGGGAACTTGTCACACCCCGAAAGTCGGCTCTGCCTCCGATTCTATCGAAATTTACAGTATCTTGTGTCGTGGAAGAAAAATACTCTCTTTCAATTTTCCCCAATTAGATGATTTTATACAACTAAAAATTTGGATCTCAAATTCTGAAATCAAAAAGTTTTCTTTATAAATGTTGACCCTAAAAACTACCTAGCCTATGTGGCGCGCAAGCTGAATAATTAATAAGTTAACTACGTTCTTCGGTTGAATGCGGGACGTGCCAACTCATCGGCCGAGGAGTAAAATGAATGTTGATGTGGCGTTGGGCACATTTAATGACTTTTGTATCTTGCGATTGCGGCCAAGGAAGGAACTCGTCTTGGTCTTTTGGCTTCTAGAGCCTGAAGATAAGGCTGCTAGTTTCTTAGAAGTTCACGAATCATCGACTTCGAGTTCGGCCTCAATAATTATATTTGTGAGAATATAAGTACTCCAAACTGATACCAGACTATATGGATGCAAATACTCAAAAAAGATAAGTGTCTTGATTGTAAATGTGGTTCGGCTGTCAGAATGCTGAACTCTGGAATGTACTTACGAATATCCAATCATAAAACAAACTCGACTTTCAATGTGCCGAGCCTAGTAACACCTCACTAAGATGACCTCTTCAAACAAGGACTCGGAAATCTTTGTTGACCGAGACTTGGATAATAACCAGTCGGTTTCGAAGCAGTGCTATTTATCCAAACTAAAGGTGTTCCTCGGTTGCCTGATTCTACAGCTTCAGTGTTGTTTATCCAAACTTAAGATGTCACCAGTTGCCTTTACAATGTTGTTTATCCAAACTAAAAAGATGTTCGCAGAGCAAAACAAAATAAAAATCTCAAGGTGTTTGAGAGGTTTGCGCAAGGCAACTGTGTGTTGATTTGGAGGTCCTTTTTGTTACAGAGCGACATGTACTTATAGCTTTCAGCTCTTACTTGGCACGGCTTGGTAACTTTGTAGAGTTCAATCGGGATTCTACCACCACCTCCACGTAATATGTGACATTAAAATCTCAAATCCCTAATGTAGACCACGTGCATTTGTGATAATGGCTCCATGAAACAATTCCGATATTCGATGGTATCATACCATGCATATCTTTCCCTCAATGCCACGTGCTTTATTGGAGGACTTATCCGTCGGTTTCTATAAAACCTGATTAGCCTATATAGATTAAAACGGAAAAGGATTTTCGCCGGATCTTAACGTTCATCTTGTATCGTACGATCAGTTTTCGTTAGGTACTATTTATATTTAATTTTAAATTTTAAATTTTGAAATGATTTCTGATCACACGATGCACGATGAACAGTCACGATCACAGGATCCGAAAAGGATCCGGCGAGTATCCCTAGGAAAAGGATCTGGCGAGGATCCTTTTCCGATTAAAACACAAGTAACTAACTTGAAGACGCCATGGACGAAAGCTTGGTGCGCAAAGAGTCTTCTACGTTGTATTGATTCTTAGCAATCAAACCGTATGAGGAGTTTGTGAATATTGCGTTTATCAGGAAACGCATGGACCTTCACTTATATAGGCATGTTAACCTAATAGGCTTAGCCCATCATTAAGACCTAATAGGTAACTAAATGTGTCTATATCTTCTTAACCAATCAGGATTTGGAACCTCTTTAGCAAGAATAACAACTTAATATTACATTCCTTTTGCGACAAGTAAAGTTTAAGTTTAATTCCCTAATCCTAACTTGATTCTCAAGTAACGTAAATTGTGAGACCACAAAATATTGTGAGAGCCGGATTTTACTCCAACAGTTTCATCACGATAAAGCTGGCGTTCATCTCCTTGAGAAACCAACCTTCCATCAAACACCACTTTGCATGAAAGAAAATGAGTTCCAGCTGGATTGTTGATGACCCTTCAAACTACATAATAATAATTATCACTTTTCAGTGATAATCTTCGCCAATTTTATTAGTCAAATCACCAACTCATCCTTTATCTCATCCATGCGTGCATCACACTAGCTTACTCCAAGTAACTAATCTTTCAAGTTGGACTCCACCTTTATCCCATCTGCCGCATGCTAATATCAGAGGCTAATCATTATTCCTTCTCTACTCGCTGATTAGTTGTAACTCATCCAACACCTGAATGCACGGGATTATCTTAATATTCACATCTAATGGGCCAGAACCGTGTTCATCCACCGGCCTTGGTTGTTCGGACTGATGGTGTAATTTTGAATCCAAACAATAAAACAGCTCCTTCATGGTTTTCTTTTAGATGGTTGAGGTCATTAATTCATGGTGGATTTGGTGGTTTTTGAGTTCGTCCATTATGTTGTTGAGTTGTTGGGGCGCGGGGGTTGGTGGTGCGTGTTGATGGCAGATGTGATGGTGGAATAGATTGGCCGTGGTGATGGAGGTCGTGGTGGGGAGAGAGAGGCGATGGTGGTGGTTACTGGGTTTGATGGTTGTGATCGGAACGGTGAGGAAGCTGACAGTGTAAAGAGTAAGAAAGAACTTAAACAAATGAACAGATAATAAGTATTTAATGCTCCGGCGTGTTATAGGGTTAGAAAAAGGAAAATAATTTTATGAATAATTGCATGTTCCATTGGAACTCTCAAGGACACGTGTCCTGTTATTGGAGAAAGTTTGCATCAGACTCGCTTTAACCGAATCCGCCTAGCATATCTGTATATTATATAAGAGAAGTATTAAAGAAAGTCTGTTAAAGAAAAATTATTTATGAATTTTATGTCATTTTACAGTTTAATATTTATTTTTAATTGATATTAAAAAATATTATACCAAAATATGACGTGACCACTTTTGAGAGTTAGCATTTCTCATTATATAATTAAAAAAAGAAAGGGCACCTCTCGCAACACATGGGATTTGAATTTGTTCAGATCAAGTCAACTCTCTCAAAGATCCTCGTTTTCCTCATTTTCTGAAGTCCTTCCTTTGACTCGACTAATTGGGCTTCGTTTGGAAGTCGGCCCAAAGTGACCTTGAATATTTGCCAGAGTCGGGTCGGGTCGGATGATAGAAATGAGCAGTGGCAAGTGGCAGAAAATCCCAATCCACTTTGGAAAACGACTGGCAACACTGAGCTCCAGCCATCGCTCCATCCAACAGAGTTATAAGAAGTTGCACATGTAAAAATCATTCAATTACATGACACACACACTGAGACGGTATGCATATGCGTGGAGAATGATCATATGCTCGCTGCGAGAAACTTTCAAGGGACACAATTTCATAAAACATTCACTAATTACGTATGCTAGCTATCCTTCCGTCGTTACAAGTTCTTGTGTTTAGTCTTCTAATTTTTATACTATGCAACTGAACTTTACCAAGGTCCAGGGTTTTTGAAAGTTCTCTTTGCTTTCAGGTAATAACATTGTGTGAAAGGTTTGATGGGCAAGAGGCAAATATAACAAGCGTCCCAGTTTCTGTCTTGAGAGTAACCCGCATCTAACAAGGCTTTTTGAGTGGACAAATGATGTTACCGATAGATTGGCATTTTCAGAGGTAAGTTAATATGGTTTTGATAGTCATTTACGTAAAATAAGTTGCTATTTGAAATTTTGTAATTTGCATTGTAATTGTTGTTTTGCAGCATTGGAAATCTGAATAGAAATAGAATTTCTTATAAAACACTTTTTTTTTTTTTTTCCCTAATTGAGAGGGCTAATGCCCTGCATTTTGGCATTTGTAGGTTCTTTCAGGCGATACTGTTTTCTCTGTTGCAATGAACGAAACATATGGTCTTCTAAAAGATATAGTTACACTTGGGAAATATTTGCAGGACTACTTCACCAACATGTTGAAGAAATTGAAAGATATCAAAGCACAGGAAATCTGACATTTACTTGTGAAAAAATACAGTGAAATTGAAGATGTAACTTTTCTTTTAGCAAGTTAAGAGTACAAAATGTATTTGTGCTGATGAATGGAAGGCCCAATTTCTTTCTATCAGATAAGCATATTTTCAAACAACGGCCCAAGATTTTATGGTTCTAAGTTCCAACTGAAGCTGGAGCAGTTGAAACTAGGCCATTGTGTGGAACTCACACATCCTGTGGTGAATAAGTTGGTTAGTCAAATGTATTTTCCCCCGATCCAGTTGCCCCTACCCATCTACTCGCAACATTCCAATTTCAAGGAAAATGAATGAACATATCGCATGTGGCATTCAGTTTTTACTTTGTTTAAATAGATTCTGAGTTTAAATTTTATGACCGACACTTTATAGTACAACAAAAATAATATTCGACTTCAAGCCCTTGAGGTAAAGGAAGACAATGATATTTTTCTACTGCATTTTGAATATCCCATTCCAATGTGTTTGTAGCTGAAGTTCTCGCTCATGTATATGAGCGTGCGTGCTTGTGTTCTTTTGAGCTTTTTTTGAGTTTTTCATCTCAACCTATCTACCGGTCAAAGAACTAAATAAAGAGAAATATGAGCCTTTTTTCAGTTGGACAACCATTACAACGGTATATTTATATTACGGATTAAGGGAATATATTTGTATCGAACTCATCATTCATGAGATTCAAATTTAATAACTCTTATTTACAAGTAAATAGAATTGCATTATACCACAATCTAAGTGGCCGCACTTACATTTCTTACTAACTCCTTTATATCAAGACAAGTATGGACGCTAGAAGAAAAAAGCTCATATATCACAGTTACTGCTTGCAATCCACCATGGGCATTGTGTCCGTTAATAATCTGGATGTGATAAAAAATCTCAATTTTTATCACAAGCTATGCCCATTGTCAAATGTGATACATCCACAAATTGTGCCCATGGTAAACCGAAATCTAACACCACGTGCACTATGGCTATTGTGGATTATAAAATGACCACAACTGATGCCCGTTATAAAAGAATTTCCAAAACTAAAAAAAAATATTTTTATTTTTATTTAATAAATATAATATAATATTTATATACAAGACTGCACATTTACTACAATATAATAATTACATAAATAACATTTATAATCAATGAGCCATCCTCAAAAATATGAAACTATCTATCAAGTATGAAATACGTCTCCATTTACAAACAAATTGTCACCTAAAAGACTTCACTTTTCCTTGAATCGTATGACAAAGATTCGTAATTTGATAACCACCGCTGCCACTGCCCCTTCCTCCTGGTTGAATATTTCTCCTAAACACATAAGGAAAAATAAGTTGATCAAACGATTACTTCTAAGAAAACAGATGCTTAACAATTTGGTATATAACACTCTAAATTCTGGCTGTGCCAATAGACTCATTAAGCTCATGAACAGAAATGATCTGATTCCATGAAAACCTTGACATCTGAATGACATCTTAGAATAAAGAAGATTGAAGAAACAACAGGCCATCAATCCACATTAACAGAAAAGGAATGGAATGATCTTTAATTCTCGATACCGAATCCCATAGAGATTGTCTAATAACTGACCATAGCCAACAAAATATTCAAATAACACTTAGCATTGAAATATTCAAGCATTCATCTTCAACCAAATGACCTTAAAAACGCCACAACACCGAACCCCACACATATTTAAGTTTAGAAGTACAAATTACAAGCACAAGCCCAAAAAAAAAAATATATATATATATATATATAATAAAGCAAATACAAAGGCAGATAGTTCATGAATGTTGACAATAGTGCAAGTATGGGAACTCTCTAACAATTGAATACCCAAAGACAAATGCAAAATGCCTTGAGAAGCCGCAATAGATGCATAACTACATATGAGAACTGACAGGACTTTCAACAAATAACACAAAATTTGCCTGAATCCAATGAACATTTTGAAACGAAAGCAAAAATCTCAACAACTTATCACAAAAAAATCAAACCGTGAGTGCATTGTGAACGCCAACAATGTCTTCATATTCAACACAAGCGTAGCAGACTCCAATTTCCTGCATGCACCAAATTCTACTTTAGCTCCGATCCAGTTCATAGTTTTAGAGACAAACTCACCTTGCCAGCCCTCATCATGCATAATTTGACCCAAGTTTTTAAACTCCTCCTCAATCTCATCTTCAGTAACCGTAGGAGGCAAATTTCTTATATTGGTTGTGCATTCAAAGAATAAATACCAAAACTTAGATTTTGAATTTCTAACAAAAGAAATTCAGATTTTCGAAATTAAACAATTGGTTAGTAGAGAGAGTGAGATTCCATACGAGAAGAACTTGAATGAAAGGGAAACAGATAAGATTTAGAAATTGAAATACTATCAACTCGGAAATTAAGAATCACTAACAACAACTTCAAATTATTGCTACGATTATTCATAATTTTAAAAATTAATTAAAAATAATTAGAGAGGTTGGGAAAATGGAGGACCTGGTCATGGCCAATCGACCCATAGGTGGACGACCTCGGCAAAGAGTGTAGCACCATTATTGCATTCGCTCCCACTACAAATCTGTTTGTTCCAGTTGAAGTGCCTCAGTTTCCGGAGCGACACGGTGGAGTTGAAGGGATGGTCGCCGCCGTTGCAGTGAGGCTGAGGAGAAGAGCGCATGGAGGTTGTGTTGGGGTTGATTTGTTGGGTTGCTGATGCTATTGTAGGAGGAGAGTGGGAGGTTTTTGAGTGGGTCGTATCATGGGGGGAAGAAATTGGTGGTGGTGGTGAGGTGAGGAGTCACGGATGGAGAGAGGCGATGAGTGGAGAGAAGATTAAAAAAAAAATGAGAGAAACGTTTGTGTGAGAGAGGTAAAGTAAGAGGAAATGAACGATTTCACTTAAATTTTGAGAATTGCGGGAGTACAGTGAAATTTCAAAGAATTTGAAATTTTGGGAAATTTTTCAATCCCGCCTTCTAAATTTTTTTTTAATAATGCGTGTAATTTCACCACATTGAATTTTTTTTATTTTTCACGAACATTAAATGTGGTTAAAAAAAATATTTCCACGGATTAAGATTCGTGGTGGTTTAATATTTTTACAATGTGCTAATTAAATCTGTGGTATTAAATTGTTTTATTATAACGGATCGCTACTTGTCTGTTGTAAAATATTATTATCCACAATGTACTGACTAAGCCCGTGATAAATATTCACTTTTTATAAAGGATGCATAAAGTTCGTGGTAAATTTGTTGTGGTAAATGTTCATTTTTTATTACACACTTCTTTTTTTTTAATTTTTTTTTTTTTGCTTCTTACCGTTTCTATCTTACCTATGGTTATCAAATCTCAAATCTCAAATCTCAAATCTCAAGTGGTGTATATAAAGCAAAGGACAATCAATGATAGTTTTCGGTCATTTTCTTTTAGAATTTGGTCAAACGGCTACAAATAAGAGGCTATTTAAAGGTTATAATAATTTTAGCCGTTTGATCAAATTTCAAGGGTCCTGATTTAAAATTTTGGTAGATTTAGTGGAAGAAATTCGGAGATGATCTCTTTCCTACCAATACTCTAGGCTTTAGATATTGGTAGGGCATTGTGTATATTCTCACTTGATGCTTTATTTGACTTCAGACTTTGTGTTTTTAAAAGATTATTAATTTTATCACTTATCCCTAGTTCAGAACATTATACCAAATTGTCGCACTATTATATGTCTTCTCAACACTGTTAAATCCTCATTATCTGTAAATCATAATCTAAACAAATGCATCAATAACTCATCAAAACCCAAAAAATAATTGTGGCACACATGTCAAATGGGAATTTAGTAACAAGGAATAGTTTCTTCATGTAGAAATACTCTGTATTTTTCACATGATTATACAAATTGACTTATAGATATATATATATATATATATATATATATATATATATATTTTTATAAATGTGACAAGTCCGGCTTCAGCGCTATGATACCCTCGATTCGATTGTTTTACAAGAATGCTGGGCTGGGTAGTAAGCCATATATATGGGAGGAACTAGTTTTAGCCTTCAATTTGATTTCATAGCTGTTTTGTTAAATCTTCTATTTTTAATCTCAACAGTTCATTTTAGGTATTATCCAATAATACGTACTATGGAAGAAAAATTCAAATGTGAGCAATTGAGTCTGTGACATGCACAATCTTCTTGGTTCTTACTTCTTGGAAGAGTTTCTCTTTTTAGCTTGGGTAAAAAACTGTATATTTATGGTGATTAAAGAAAAGAGAAGACTCTTATGCAACTCTGTCGATACTAAGTGGAGGCAATCTTACATTGTGTTTACGTGTTGGTGTATTTGGAAGGCTCACTGTGATTTTGTGTTCAATGGGGTGCCCATTAATCCTTCCAAAGTCATGGCTGCTGTCTCTGCGGCTGTGAGTACTTTTTTTTGGTGCGAAGGCAGTGGGTGGGTTTAGAAGAGTGGGCGATGGGAGGAGGGATACCCAGGTTTCGCGGTGGTGTGCTCCGGCCTCTCCTTTTGTGAAGATTAATGTGGATGCTAGTTGGTCCAAGGCATCTAAGATGGGTTTTGTCGGAGTGATATTGCGGGACAAGGATAGAAAGTTTGTGGCTGCCGCGAGGTATGCTATTAGTGCTCCTTCTGCTGCTGCTGCGGAGGCCAAAGCGTTGTTGCACGGGTGCCAGTTAGGAACTACTTTGGGTGTCAGGTATGTCATCATGGAATCGGACTCCCTTGAAGCTATAAAATGTCTTTCTTGCTCTCTGTCTATGGGTAGTTGGGAGGCTTTCCCCGTGTTGGCTCGGGTTAAGCAATTGGGGGGGGGGGGGGGGTGGTTTTCTTGGTTGCCGCTGGTCTTGGGTGCCCAGATCAGCTAATGGTGCATGAGATTGCGTCAGTTGGTTTTCCGGAGATGTGTGATGTCGTTTGGGTCGATAGGCCCCCATCTTCGTTGGTCTTTGTTTTGAATAATGATGGGCTACCTTGTCCTCACTAAGTTGGCTATGGTGGGTGTTGGGGGTGACGCCTCTATTCGGTGGAGGGGTCTTTGTGGTCTATCCCTTGTCACTGCTTGGTTGTAGTTCTGGTGTTTGCCTCTCTGTAGGCTCCTTTATATATTGGTTTCCTTTGGCGTTCAAAAAAAAAAAAAAAAAAAAAAAGAGAGGACCTTAAAAGCAGCAATTGGCCTAACATTCATTTTTTAACAAGAATTCATGGCAGTTTGCCTTCCTCCCCAACTTCAATGTGAGGGATTTCAAAGTTCACAGAGGTTTTAAGAGAGAAAAGTGAAAGTGATTGTTGACTCTCTCTCTCTCTCTCTCTCAGTTGATTCACTTTTCCTCAAATAAGCTTTCACTTGATTTTAACTTGAAAGAAGACATGAAGATAATACTTTGTCATGTGCTTGCAAATTACAACCCAGATGGAAGGCGGTGCACTCTCTCTGTCAAACTGTCGTATAAGCATATATGTATATGGTCTATACTTGTGGTGAACATGCACTTCTGTTTCATGTTTTAGTTAAGCTCAGTTAGCATGCATGATGTTATTGTAAACAAATATTTTTGGAACCCTAATTTACTTTGCTAGTACTAACTTTTCCACGTTCATGGCACGTGGTATGTACAAGTACACCACAAAATTTTAGTAGAGCTTTGGAGTACTCGAATTGGAGACAGAACCTTTTTCGAATAAAACGATATATAAAATGTATGACTTCATAACTATATGTATACAGACGGAGTTGTGATATCATTTTTTTACACAATTTTTAAGGAGAAATTAAGTTTTCTTGTCACATCTCAGCTTGAGACGGATCACTTTTCGGACCCGCTTCACCACCGTAGCACGATATTGTCCGTTTTGGGCTTACCATTCCCTCACGGTTTTGTTTTTGGGAACTCACGAGCAACTTCCTAACGGATCACCCATCATGGGATTGCTCTAGCTCCCTTCTCGCTTAACTTCGGAGTTCCTACGGAATCCGAAGCCAGTGAGCTCCCAAAAAGCCTCGTGCTAGGTAAAAATGAGAATATACAAATAAGGATCACTCCCATGGGCGATGTGGGATGTCACAATCCACCCCCCTTAGGGGCCCGATGTCCTCGTCGGCACACCACGACCATGGTTAGGCTCTGATATTGTCACATCCCGGCCTAGGGCGGATCACTTCCCGGGCCCACTCCACCACCGTAGCACGATATTGTCCACTTTGGGCATACCATTCCCTCACGGTTTTGTTTTTGGGAACTCACGAGCAATTTCCCAGTGGGTCACCCATCATGGGATTGTTCTAGCCCTCTTCTCGCTTAACTTCGGAGTTCCTACGGAACCCGAAGCCAGTGAGCTCCCAAAAGGCCTCGTGCTAGGTAAGAATGTGAATATATATATATAAGGATCACTCCCCTGGACGATGTGGGATGTCACATTTCTTACCTCTGTTTTCAATTTCATTGAGTAAAACCTTATTCATTTTCAATATTTTGTTAAGGTCCCTAGGTTTTAATGAATGTCGTTAATTATTTCAATAATAATATATTTTACATGTCAAAATAATTAAATTTTATTTATAAATATATTCATTTAGTGTTAGAAACGTTACATTTGACATATTTATATTAATGGCTAAATTTTGTATCATATACTTTTATTTTTAGTTTGTACCCATTTTTAATTTACAACCCTTTTTTTTTAAATTGTACCAATTTTCTTTTCAGTTTTAGTTTGTACCCATATATTAATTTCTTTTTAGAAAACTTCATTTTAATTTTGGCAAAGATGACTTTTAGATTAAAATCATGAGTAAGATCAAATCTAATTTTAGTCCCTTAATACATTAATAACCTCATTTATTAATTATATTTTGATTTTTTAATTATTTCTCTTTTTCTTCCTAATTTTTAATGTATTAATTTTATTTCATTATAATTTTCATTTTCATTTCATTTATCTTAATATATTTAGACAAATTAATTTAAATTAGTTAATCTAACGTTGTTTTTTTAATATAAAATGTACCCGTTGTTTTATATATATATATATATATATATTTAGATAAATTAATTTAAAATTTTTAATCTAAAATGTACGTTGTTTTTTTTTTATATAAAATGTGCCCGTTGTTTTTTTTATACAAAATGTACCACCTTTTTGTGTAAAATGTACCAACTTTTTGTATGTCAAATGTACCCACATTATTATGCAAATATACCAATTTTTTGGATGTAAAATGTCATTAATATAAGTAATGACAAATCATGGGTTTTATTTAAGATAATTTGTAAATTATACTTTTTTATATAAGTATAATTTATCTTTTAATATTTTCAATCCCACAAAACATGTATTTTATTCAAAATCTCATTAATATAAGTAACAAATATCAAATTTTAATTTAAAATATAGAAATGCATTATTGCATTAATTTCAAAAACTGCAATCAAAAACTGAAAACCAGCAATGTTTTAGTCAAAGAATGTTAATAATTAGGGACCGCATCCAAAGTCACCTATTTTTTAAATACTTTTTGTGTGGTCCACTCAGTAATATATTTTAACGATCCGAATCATTTATCTTTTAAAATATTGACAAAAAGAGTTATGTAAAAAAGGTTGTGTCATAAATTCGCTCCCATATATATTTATATAACATTATAACAATTGGAGCTCATGATGCTTATATTGTCATGATTGTTAGAGAATTAATTATGGCAGGTGATTATTGTCTAAATCATCAACAAATTTTTTATCACCTATCAACTGTGTACTCATGAGATTTGTTACTAAGCTTGTATAAAAAATAAAGGACAAAATGCATATGTAAGTATTAATAAGTACGTATATGTTTGTCACATGCAAATGTGTGATGAGTCAATAATAATGCCAATGTGCTTGGTGTGGAAACACATTTGATTCTTTTGTGCTTATGATTCTCTAATAATTCAAAGAGAGATATAGTGAGGGTTGTGGTTAGAAACTTAGACCATTTTTAAAAGAAATGTCAAATATGTCAAATAGGATTAAAAAGATATTCAGGTGTTCTCCAATGGATATGCCAAATATGATGTGGTAGTTGAGTCATTTGACTCCTTACTTTCTAGCTG